TCAGGGCTCGATAACCACTCTTGCAGTTGTGGAAGACAAAATTGCTTTTGCATGTACGTTCTTTGAATTCCAGACCTTGATTTTCACGTTCCGAGCATAACTCCATTGGTGTGCAGGGCACAGACGCGCTCGGTGAGAGTCTGCATAGCAATACCGGTATAGGCTCGGGCTGCAAAGCTTCGCTACCTCTCTCCTCGGAGCACAGGTGAAAGTGCAAGTGTGAAATGAAATTCCATTATTCGTTTCCTTTTTTTGTTGTTGCAAATTTCACTTTTCTGCAAGCCTTTGCTTTCAACTGCTCGGTGGAGATGACATTTGGAGAGCGGCGTCTCATCTCACATTAGGTCTTGATATTGATTTCCTTCGAGACTAATATTTCCAATTACCTAAACTTTCTGCTGCTTCCCCTTGCGACTACGAGACACCAGATGGTTGATTTATATCTTTCAAGTGCAACCTATCCTATGTCATCAGTCTAATGTCGACGTCAGTTTGGTACAGATCTATTAGTGACAGTGTCTGCCTGCAGAGGAATACATTTCAGCTTTATGGACGGTAACTGTCAAAGATACCATGGTTTGTTACTGTTATAGTGGCTCTTATGGTGAACATGGACAGTGGTTCTTATGGTGAACATAGACAGTGGCTCTTATGGTGAACACGGACAGTGGCTCTTATGGTGAACATATAATGTGATATATGGAATTCGAAAAATATTTCAGTGTGGCCGAGAATTCCGTTTTCAGAAAAAAATTCAGCATACACTTTTAAGATTTTAAACCAACGATTTAAAATACAATAACATTATAACTTAAGAATAATCTCTGTTTGGGGGCTGTGGTTTCTCGTGGTCATGGATTAGCTGTGAGGATGGGCTCTTTGTCTGTCCAATGTTAAAGGCCAGATGCTTGGGGCTAGCCTCACCTTAATTTGTAGAGGGAGTGGTCTGGGTTACGGGACGAACATAGGCTGGCTGGGGAAGGCCAGCCAGCCTATGTTCAGAAATGAAATTGGAATATATTCTCCATAGAGTCTGAAGTTACTCCCACAGTTTAACTATGCAGATGTACCTCATGTATTAATAATAAAAAAAAAAACTATGTCCACACTACGTGACGAAGCCGTCATCTGTTATGCCGACGACATATGCATTGTTGCAAATACCCAAACTAGATTGCAAGCTCTACTTTATTCACTCGCTGCTAAAAGCATTGAATGTGGTCTTGTTATCTCTATAACTAAATCCAGAGTTCTCCATCCCCAAGAGAAAACTCATGTCCTATAACTTTCAAGGTCAACAACCAGAACATTAAAACGTGTAGGCAGCACAAATACCTTGGAGTTGGTATTAACAGTGACATTGTAAATGATCTACACCGTAGGTTAAAAGAAAGACTAAAACCATTGAAAACACTTACTGGTAAGAATATTGGTATCAATATTAAATATGCTAGAGTATTCTATATGATGTTTGTTAGATCTCTCGTTGATTATAATGCTCTGCACTTAATTAATTTCCCCTCCTCTGTGTTGGACAAACTTGAAGTAGTACAGAATGAGGCCATGAGGATAATTCTTGGTGCCCCAAGATGCACAAGAATCATCAACATGAGGGAAGAACTGAAGCTTCCAACCATACTAGAGAGACTCATGCAAGTCAACACTACCTTTTGTCTTAAAGTCATGAGAGATCCTACATCTCCTGCATTGCTCAGAGACAAATTATTTAGTGCTGTTAACACCCTATTGACTGGTGCCGACATACCAACTCACTCCTTTTATGATAAATGGCTGAGCAACAATGCTTACAATCTCATTAAACTCAACATTCCTTTCAAGTGCAATCTACCTGTCTCTGATATTCCTCTTTATCTGTACCTCACCATTCAAGTATCATACACACCTGTCACCAAGAAAGATAATGAGAATCTTGCTCTTCTCAAAGCTGTCACACTTGAAACAATTGCCTCCTCCATCGAGAATTTAAGATCTCACGAGCACTGTGTCTACCGACGGCTCAGTCCAATCTTCTAATGGACGGACTGCAGCGGCATGTAGGTTTTATAGAAATAATATTTGCACAAAGACTGTCAGTGTCAGGTTAAACAACTGGCTGACCTCCACACAAGCAGAACTAGCGGCACTACAACTAGCTACCAGTACATTAAAAACATTGGAGGAGGCATAATATTTTGTGATTCAAAGTCTGCTCTTCAAGCAATCGAAAACTTCTCCTGGAAGATCGACAGCAAGAACCTCATACTACCAATTATAAATGACCTAATCGCTGCACAGAGTAAAGGGTCTCGAATCTCCTTTGTATAGATACTAACACACACAAATATAACCCATCATAATGAGACAGACATTGCAGCCAAATTAGCGTGTAACAAAGATGAAGAAGAATTAGATCTAGGTATCCCCATCTCTACTGTCAAAACTGTATTGGTCCAAACACTCAGATCTGATAGGAAAGAACTTACTGACTCCCAACGACCTGAAAGTACTAGTATAAAAAGCAATGATTTGTTCAGATCTGAAACCTGTGGGCAGCACAAAACGTCCACCAGACTGTGCGACACAGTGGTTGCAAGGATCAGGTTGGGTTACCGTTACCTGTGGCAGGTGGCTGCAGGTGACGGATCTCCCAATCCTGAGCACTCCAGTTGCAAACTCTGTGAGCAGGAACTACGGCACGATCTCCCGCACTACATCACTGAATGCCCAGTTATTAGACCATTCAGACCAGTTGGCATGGGGTACCTGAAGCTTTGCAATTACTTTATTCACTCTCGTGTTCTTTAAAATATCCTCACAGTGCACCCAAAATTTGCTAGTGCAGGCTACTAAACATATCTCCTTGTATGACTAACCATCCTGCGAGATGGGGACTTTTATTACCACTGCTGCCTTATTCACTCTTATGTTGATGATATCCTCAAAATGCACCCGGAGTCTGCCAGTGCAGACTGCCTATCACATGCCTCTGTATGACTAACCATCCTGTGTGATGGGGATTTTTTAGCATCATGTAGCTAGCTTTTTTGACACACTGTACTTCCCTTCATATAGTCTAGGGTAGCTGTACAAATGCAGTTGTGGCTAATGTATTAATACAAAAAAAATTTATGCATCACATAGCTACCTATTGACACACTGTATTCCCCTTCATAATGTCTAGGTAGCTGCACAAATGCAGCTGTACCTAATATATTAATAAAAAAATACCTATGCATTTTCATGAGTTACTCGAAAAGGATAGATAGATGGACAAATAAATGGATAGATAGAAGAATGGACAGATGTAGGGATAGATGGATAAATAGATGGATGGATAGATAGATGGATAGATGTAAGACAGAGACCTGGGCAACACTGGGTAACCCCTTAGTATACTATAAGAGAATGGCTGTCTTACTGTCTGTTAGGATGTCCAAAGTTGGAGGCCGGATGCTTGGGGCTAGCCTCACTAAAATTTGCAGGGGGAATGGTCTCGGGTACGAGACGGTCATAGGCTGGTCGGGCAAGGCCTAAGTTAAATGCTTTCAGAAATATTAGCAATTATAAACTACCCTTAGACGATTTTTAAGAAGTCCGGTGTGAAATATTTCAGTACCATTAACGTGAAGTTGTTTGTTCTTGCAATATATTTTTTGAGACCCATATTGCTGTTTCAATGAGTCTTAATAATATATTTTCTGGCAGAAAGGGGAGAGGGGATAGGCAAGGGAGGATGACCAACGGGGATGGGGATAACCAAAGGGAAGATGAGAGAGAAGGTGCTGGATGTGGGAAGAGGGGAAAAGAAGAAAGGGTGGAATGAGTGGTCGGGTGAGAGACAGACTATCCCGGGCACTGCCGGGTAATCCCCTCCTTTAACCTTCAATCTAGTCAACCCCCCCCCCCTTCCTATCTAATCACCTCCCCTCCACGTCCCCCTCAACTCCCCCTTCCCAACCCCTCCCATCTTGTCAGCTCCCCCCCCCCCCCCCGTCTCCTGTCATTCAGCCGTGGCCGTCGTCACGACCTATCCTTCACCTTCATGAGACAAGGCTTTTATGGTAATAAGGTGTGTACCTGGTGTGTGTATTATGATATATTGCTCCGTCACCTGTCATGGCCGCCACCTTCACCGTGCTCCTCCTGCACCCTTCACCGTCCTCCTCCTGCACCCTTCACAGTGCTCCTCCTGCACCCTTCACAGTGTTCCTCCTGCACCCTTCACAGTGCTCCTCCTGCAACCCTTCACAGTGTTCCTCCTGCACCCTTCACAGTGCTCCTCCTGCGCCCTTCACAGTGCTCCTCCTGCACCCTTCACAGTGCTCCTCCTGCACCCTTCACAGTGTTCCTCATGCACCCTTCACAGTGCTCCTCCTGCACCCTTCACAGTGCTCCTCCTGCAACCTTCACAGTGCTCCTCATGCACCCTTCACAGTGCTCCTCCTGCACCCTTCACAGTGCTCCTCCTGCACCCTTCACAGTGCTCCTCATGCACCCTTCACAGTGCTCCTCCTGCAACCTTCACAGTGTTCCTCATGCACCCTTCACAGTGCTCCTCCTGCAACCCTTCACAGTGTTCCTCATGCACCCTTCACAGTGCTCCTCCTGCACCCTTCACAGTGCTCCTCATGCACCCTTCACAGTGCTCCTCCTGCACCCTTCACAGTGCTCCTCATGCACCCTTCACAGTGCTCCTCCTGCAACCCTTCACAGTGTTCCTCATGCACCCTTCACAGTGCTCCTCCTGCACCCTTCACAGTGCTCCTCCTGCACCCTTCACAGTGCTACTCCTGCACCCTTCACAGTGCTCCTCATGCACCCTTCACAGTGCTCCTCCTGCAACCCTTCACAGTGTTCCTCATGCACCCTTCACAGTGCTCCTCCTGCACCCTTCACAGTGCTCCTCCTGCACCCTTCACAGTGCTCCTCATGCACCCTTCACAGTGCTCCTCCTGCACCCTTCACAGTGCTCCTCATGCACCCTTCACAGTGCTCCTCCTGCAACCCGTCCTCCTAACTGCACGACGCATTTTGACGTAAACTTTACCAAAGGCCAAAAACTGTCGTACAAGAAAATGGGCGGCGGTAAATGGCAGCACTGAGTGCACACTTGGGTGTGAATGTTGGTAACAATTACAGTTTTGTTCTGAGTTGCTCTTATTCAGTGCTCTCAAACTGTGGGCCAGTCCCAGCTTATGGCGGGAAACTCACTTTTGTCCTTTCAGGGGCCTGGGTGCTCGTGCTCCAGAGGTGCTGGCTGTACAGCACTCTCTCACACACACACACACACACACACACACACACACACACACACACACACACACACACACACACACACACACACACACACACACACACACACACACACACACACACACACACACACACACACACACACACTTTTTCCAGACGAAGCTGGAAAAAGTCCAAAGGTATGCCACTAGACTAGTCCCAGAACTAAGAGGCATGAGTTACGAGGAAAGGCTGCGGGAAATGCACCTTACGACACTGGAAGACAGAAGAGTAAGGGGAGACATGATCACAACCTACAAAATCCTCAGGGGAATCGACCGGGTAAACAAGGATAAACTATTCAACACTGGTGGGACGCGAACAAGGGGACAGAGGTGCAAACTGAGTACCCACATGAGCCACAGAGACGTTAGAAGGAACTTTTTCAGTGTCAGAGTAGTTAACGGATGGAATGCATTAGGCAGTGATGTGGTGGAGGCTGACTCCATACACAGTTTCAAATGTAGATATGATAGAGCCCAATAGGCTCAGGAACCTGTACACCAGTTGATTGACAGTTGAGAGGCGGGACCAAAGAGCCAAAGCTCAACCACCGCAAGCACAAATAGGTGAGTACACAGACACACAAGTCCCTCTCATATGAGTAATTAATACAGGTGATAAAGCAAATAGGTTCCTGATTCAGAAAATAAACATTCAGGAACCCTGAGGTGAAGAGAGCGACCAAGGGGTTGAGAGAGCGACCAAGAGGTGAAGAGAGGAACTAGTTTACTAACGCAGCCGACGTCACGCGCTTGCTCGGTGCAGGGAGAAGGCAGGGGGAGGCAGGGGGAGGCAGGGGAAGGCTGGGGAAGGCAGGGGAAGGCAGGGAGAAGGCAGGGGGAGGCAGGGGGAGGCAGGGGAAGGCTGGGGAAGGCAGGGGAAGGCAGGGAGAAGGCAGGGGGGAGGCGGGCACAACGCCTCTCATCCATCTTACTCAGCAGTAGGATGTGTCACGCCTCATCCCACTCCCCACTCACTCTTATTAGTATTCACGACTCTTTCGGAAGTGTTCATCAGCCTCGGGGCTGGGCCCTCGGGGTCGTCTGTGGTCGTCCGTAGTCGCCCGTGGTCGTCCGTGATCGTTCTGGTTGTCCGTGGTCGTATGTGGTCGTCCGTGGTCATCGAGGTCGTCTGTGGTCCCCTGGGGCCCCCTGTGGTCTTCTGTGGTCGTCCGTGGTCGTCCGTTACCGCGCACTCTGCCGCGTGTGAGTGTAAGGTCGGCCCAGTATTAGCTCCCGATCCCCGCCTTTCCAGCTACTGGTCAATGAAATACAATGACTCATTCCTCATATTTATCCTTGTATTCCTTTTAAGTTGCTTATTGAATTCGCTTTTATTCTACTTCTTAGTAGGGAATACACACACACACACACACACACACACACACACACACACACACACACACACACACACACACACACACACACACACACACACACACACACACACACACACACACACACTTTGTGCTTGTATGTGTGTACTCACACAAGCAGGGCGCACGCATACAAGCACCAAAGACACAGATACACATAAATACACAAACACCAACACGGGAAGCAAACCCATAACCCCCCCCCCCACACACACATACACACACAGTACACATACACACAAACATGGAAAATACACACAAAAACACGGGGAATATACACACCTCACCTCGCGGCTGTACAAAACCAACAAAATATAATGTTGAGCAGCTTGAAAAGAAACAATATACTAGAAAATCGACACGACACTCACAGGGGAATTTATACGAGGAAATATGAGAAAACATGAGAGAATGAGGAAGAGGCAGGGAGAGAAACAATACAATAAAGAAGATTAAACGAGAGGGAGAGGGCTAAATCTAATAGCAGAGTGAAGGGAAGTATGAGAGAGAGAGAGAGAGAGAGAGAGAGAGAGAGAGAGAGAGAGAGAGAGAGAGAGAGAGAGAGAGAGAGAGAGAGAGAGAGAGAGAGAGAGAGAGAGATAATAATATGATGATAGGACTGACAATCAGAGAGCCACACCTTCCTACACTTTACACCACGGTGACAAACCGCAGCAAGGGTTCAGATGAGCGGGGCCGGCGTCACCCCTAACATTTGCATGCAGATATATAAGGCTCCTCGGCTCCTCACCTGGCTATTTTACTCCACCACTCGCTGGATGAGGATATTTCTATACTTGCGGAAGAAAATTCTATGAATAAATGCATATTAATTGCCTTGAGCGCCATTGTTTAAATTCCGGGTTCTAAAATTTTATTTGTACTCAACAATTGCCGTGACCCTCAATGTAAGTGCTCCCGCAAGCAGGGATGTGAGCCGGCAAGCACGCACGCACGCACGCACGCACGCACGCACGCACACACACACACACACACACACACACACACACACACACACACACACACACACACACACACACACACACTCTCCGGCTCCAGGAATTATGTGTCACTATTTAAGTAGTATAGAGTGCACACGTGGTGTCCCAGTTACCATAAATATATCGAAATCAACAAAAGTTGGAGAGTAACAAGTACTGAATGACCCACAAATCAGGGAAAACTAACGTCATGGCCCAGCCAACGTGAGGAGACGACACCCTAAGAACAACAATGGCAGTCACAACCTAAGACAACACAGGATGATGATGATGATGATGATGATGATGATGATGATGATGATGATGATGATGATGATGATGATGAAGATGAAGATGACTTCTTGGATTTCACCAACGAAGAAATAAGGTCGAGATTATTGGCAAGTTTAGTGAAAATGAAAGATAGAATACACGAGGATAGATAGACACCTCGATAGATAGGATAGATAGGACACGAGACAGATAGGATACACGAGGAAAACTTTCTAACATCAGGGAAGGAAAATACAGTTAAAAAGAAAGATAAGTGACTTTTGGAATTAATTATGTTTGAAAAAGGAGGATAAATTCGCCAGCATGTTCAAATATTCTAAACTATACAGGTGACAAATTAAATAATTATTTAAAAAAAACGACATGGAAAGTAAAAAAGTGGAAGAACTTTAAAAAGTAAACAATAAGTTAGAGGAGTATGGAGAGGAACTCAAAGTAACTCTCCACGCAAGTCAGTGTTGAGTTAGGCAACAATATATATGAAGAGAGAAGTGATGGGCAGCTCAAATAGAGGTCATTAAAGGGCTAAAAAAATGCAAGGAAGATGAAAGAAATACAAGTGGTCAGAGCAGAAAAACAATAAAAAAAAGTGTGTAAGGAAGTCAAGAACAGCCAGGAACAGACATTAAACAGGCAACCAGAAAATAAATGAATATAGGATATAGAGAATATAGGAGAATAAGTAAATATGAACAAATGAAAATAGCCCCTCAAGGATGATTCTAAAAGTAGCAAAACAAGTGATATAAAAGTCAGGAGAATGAGAAATGACGAGGATGGGGAACTGGACATTAAGGAGAGACCGCTTAAAGGAAGCTACAGAGAAACCTTCATGAAACAAAGCTGTTAAAAGTACAGGAATGGGGAAATTTTTTTCTACAAAGTGGCAGGAATTGTAGAACTGGTGAAGTGGATCATAAGAGACAGCCGACGAAGGCACAAGAAGAAGAGGGGAAGAAAGGGAGGCAAATGAGGTTGGTGGGGGGGGGGGTAAGAGGTCTCTATAACTCTTGTATCCAAACATGGATGGAGTAACATACAATATATTAGAGTTACAGAATATAAAACATCTAAAGGTACCTAATATCCTCACTGTGGCAGAGACTAAACTGGAAGAATGATTCTTACATGATGTGATATCCTCTACAGTGCACTTAAGTTCAGAGACGCGACGAAAAAGAGGAGGAGGTGTACCACTAGAAATATATACAAACACAAAGATAACAACTCGTGGACAAAGAAAGAAACGACAATAAAAGAGAGTCTTATAATTTGAGTGAATTAGCAAAACCATATATAGAGAGAAATCAAGCACGACTGATGATACTTGAAGATTATAATATGAAAACAATAAACTAGGAGGCCTACGGTAGAGGAATAAAATATTTCTGGAGTATTTATTCCAGAATTATTCTGTATTCGTGAAGGTCTTCCCGGAGGAATTCATCAGCATGTTAAACAGCCAACGGGAATGAGGGAAGGGGACGTTTAATCGATATTGGACCTAATATTTACCTAAAATAAGGCAGAGATCTCTAATATAGAGTCCCTGCCTCCAAAGGGTAATAGTGACCATGTATTCTTAGAAGTAAAATACGCAATAAGGCATAACGTGAAAGATAACCGGGAAAATAAGACAACAGAGCAACTCGACTTTAAGAAATGACAGTATAACAGTTTGAGTGAATTTTTATTGGGATTGACTGGAATTGTTAGTTGTTTGGCAAGGAAATAAACGAGATATGAGAACTAAGCCACACACACACACACCAGAAGATGAGGAGACGACGACGTTTCGGTCCGTCCTAGGACCTCTATAGACTTGATAATAGTCCAGGACGGACCGAAACGTTGTCGTCTCCTCATCTTCTGGTGTGGGGTTTGGTCTTCATGTCTTAAGGCGCGCTATTGTGACTCATCGTCTGCACACAAACGAGGTGTGTCCCAGCTTGATGCGAGATATGACACAAAACACACTCGAACACTTATACCAAAACGGTATAAAATACAACGGTAATGCGGTAATAAAACCGTAATGCAAATACAGAAAAGAGGACTTGTTTAATAGAAAATTGCGAGAGGGCCAGAGAACAAAAGACAAAAATGGCATCACTATAGGAAGAAGCCAAACCCACAAACATATCAACTCTACAAACAAGCAAGAAACAACTACACAGCAGTGAAGAGAGACGCAAGTGAAACTTTGAGAGAGTATTAGCAGACAAATGTAAAACAGAACCCGGCATATTTTATAAATTCATAAAACTCTAAATTGGATAAAAAAGAAATGTAAATGTAAATGCGAGCAGTGATCCTAGGCAATGTATCTAAGTAGAGAGATGTCACTAGCAGAGTACCTCAAGGTTCAGTTCTTGCAAAAAATAAAGTTCATCTACATAAACTAGAATCTTACAATATCAATGAATCTAACAATATCACATTAACTGAACTTTAAATTATGTGCATGTTTTTTCTTACACTACACATTGCTAAAATATAAAAAAATTCTAACTACCATACTTTGCCTGTAATAGCCTGCAATTTGTGTTCATGACAACATCAACACCGGGTCCCACACTCCCCCATCCCCAGACACCCGCCCGCCCTCTGTGTACCAGCTGTTACCACACCATATACCCTCACCCGCAGCGTGTTGCCAACATGTCCAAGAGAGACAACAGTCAGACATACATACACACAGAGAAAGACACGAGAGATACAGAAAGCGATCGAATATACTAAAATCTGAACAATATTTAGGAGAGGTTAAGACCAGTAAGGGTGGCGCCCACTCACCGCAGGACGACACAGAGAGCCTAAGCCACAACACTTGCAAATTTCAGAACCGCGTTTAAAAATTTATAGACGGAGAAATATTGAAGAAACTGTTCATGCAGTTTGTGAGATCAAAGTTGGAATATGCGACGGTGGTGTGGGCCCCATATCTCAAGGAGCACGTCAACATGTCATTGAATGGCTCCCGGAACTTATGAACATGAGCTATGAGAGACGGGGGCTGTTGAACACGCTAAGGCTACAAGCTAAAAGGTGACATGATAACTTCATGTAAAACAATAAGTAGAATCGACATAATAGACAAGGAAGAATTTTTGGAACCTGCATCAAGAACAAGAGGTCACTGATTGTAAGGGAAAATAGTGCCGAAAAATATAAGGAAGTTCTATTTATTATAGCACCTAGAAGCAGTACAGTATAGTGTGGTGCGGGCAGCATGGAGTGCGGGCAGCGTGGGGTACGGGCAGTGTGGGGTGCGGGCAGCATGGAGTGCGGGCAGCGTGGGGTACGGGCAGTGTGGGGTGCGGGCAGCATGGAGTGCGGGCAGCGTGGGGTACGGGCAGTGTGGGGTGCGGGCAGCATGGAGTGCGGGCAGCGTGGGGTACGGGCAGTGTGGGGTGCGGGCAGCGTGGGGTGCGGGCAGCGTGGGGTGAGGGCAGCGTGGGGTGCGGGCAGCGTGGGGTGCGGGCAGCGTAGGGTGCGGGCAGCGTGGGGTGCGGGCAGCGTGGGGTGCGGGCAGCGTGGGGTGCGGGCAGCGTGGGGTGAGGGCAGCGTGGGGTGCGGGCAGTGTGGGGTGAGGGCAGCGTGGGGTGCGGGCAGTGTGGGGTGTGGGGTGAGGGCAGCGTGGGGTGCGGGCAGTGTGGGGTGCGGGCAGCGTGGGGTGCGGGCAGTGGGGGGAGGACAAGAGACGCATGCCGTCGCTCGCTGCTCGGTGTTGGGTAACTGACCAACTAGGATCATTAGCACCAATGTGAAGGTCGACACTCTCCAGGTCCCAGCCCAAGTGTGTCTGCAAAATCTTGTGTAGCCGGACCTAGCATGTAGCCTGACCTAGTGTGTAACCGGACCTTACGTGTAGCGTGACCTTACGTGTAGCCGGACCTTACGTGTAGCCGGACCTTACGTGTAGCCGGACCTTATGTGTAGTAAGTGTAGCCGGACCTTATGTGTAGTAAGTGTAGCCGGACCTAGCGTCTTCACACGAGCCCCCAGACACTGAAGCTTCGTGCTGAAACTCTGACACAAGTTGTGTGGACCCAAAGAACGGTGTAATAATTCTCTCCAGTGAGGCTCCGGCTCCATCAAGGAATTATTAAATGCAGAGAGGCTCCAGAGAGACTCCGCGAGAAATTCTTGTGCTGGGAATAACGCACGTTGTGCACGATAAGTCGTGATGGCCAGCCTCTGCAACACCGGTGAGTCCTTCCCTGTGAGGGGCGTGTGGCCTGTGTGTTGCTGCTGGCACTCTCGCTCCCTGCTAGTACATGTGTAACTGGCTCACCACACATGTAAACTGCTTGATGTAGAGGCCGCTGTCAGCCACATCTTGAATCATTTATGATATAAAGAATATTGACTTTAAATTGTGTAACCAACCTCACAACATTGTTACTTGCTTAGCTAAATGAAAGTTGGAGTTCAGTTCCCGAGCCCCTTATGTGCCTCTGTAACCTTTTCCACTACCGCCCACCGGACGGGTATGGGGTGCATAATGAACAAAATAGATCAAATCAGGAAGATGGGGGGGGGGTGAGGGCATCCTGTGTGTAAGAACAGTCACAAGCATCATGTGTGTGTAAGAACAGACACAAGCATCATGTGTGTGTAAGAACAGTCACAAGCATCATGTGTGTGTAAGAACAGTCACAAGCATCATGTGTGTGTAAGAACAGTCACAAGCATCATGTGTGTGTAAGAACAGTCACAAGCATCATGTGTGTGTAAGAACAGTCACAAGCATCATGTGTGTGTAAGAACAGTCACAAGCATCATGTGTGTGTGTAAGAACAGTCACAAGCATCATGTGTGTGTGTAAGAACAGTCACCAGCATCATGTGTGTGTGTAAGAACAGTCACCAGCACTACCTTTGTCTCCTCACAGTGCATGAGAGAGTGAGCACTGTATCCGCGAACAATATAACCTGCCCTACTCCAAGCCACTGTGATCAGCCCATCCCCCTCAAGGTGCAAGAACGTCGCAGAAAATGATGTACTAAATTGCCCGAAACTGAACGATACCAGGACCCGTGAATGTGAAACGTGACTGGCCGTCAATATTGCGAGCCGCTATGATTGATGGTACATCATATTTTGACGTTGGGGTTCTCTATACGTCAAAATGCGTGATATGTGTAGACTTTTAACCTTCAGAGTCACAATGTGACTCAAAGGTTGGTGAGTCACACAGTTACTAGTCTTGCTCCTCACCCACCCAACTGGGCGGCAGCTTTACAGTCACGTGCTCCTCACCCACCCAACTGGGCGGCAGCTTTACAGTCACGTGCTCCACACCCACCCAACTGGGCGGCAGCTTTACAGTCACGTGCTCCACACCCACCCAACTGGGCGGCAGCTTTACAGTCACGTGCTCCTCACCCACCCAACTGGGCGGCAGCTTTACAGTCACGTGCTCCACACCCACCCAACTGGGCGGCAGCTTTACAGTCACGTGCTCCTCACCCCACCCAACTGGGCGGCAGCTTTACAGTCACGTGCTCCACACCCACCCACTGGGCGGCAGCTTTACAGTCACGTGCTCCACACCCCCCAACTGGGCGCAGCTTTACAGTCACGTGCTCCTCACCCACCCAACTGGGCGGCAGCTTTACAGTCACGTGCTCCACACCCACCCAACTGGGCGGCAGCTTTACAGTCACGTGCTCCTCACCCACCCAACTGGGCGGCAGCTTTACAGTCACGTGCAGGCTACACCTACAGTAAACAAATTTTGGATACTTCGCTGAGATTCCCGGCAGCACATCATTATGAATGAACTACTTACACATTTCTTAGACTCCATTGATGGTGTTATCTCTG